TGTTACCTTGTATTTACTAGATTTACATACAAATAATAATGATAAATGATGATAAAATAAAAAGCTTGTGTTTTGTTTGTAAATTGCTTATTTTTTCATTACATTGAAGTTGTGGATTCTATCAAACATTTTTCTACAGGATGTATGTACTGTATTTTTTTAATGTGACAGTCTTTGAAGCATATCAACTGTGCAAAAAGAGGGCTAAATGTACTCGACGTTAACAGTAAATGCTGTTTTATTATGTCGATATTCCACACTAAAAAATGTGAGAGTCAGGGAATTTGGACAAAGTTGGTCAGGGAAAGTCAGGGAATTCAAAACAAAAATTTGAGTAGGAACCCTGTATATAATCCATTGTACTGTTTGCTTAATAAGAAGTTTTGAGAATAGGAAAGCTATGAAATTATGAGTAGGAGAAAAAGGGATAGGAAAATACATTACTAGTCCCATTATTAATGTAGGACCAGATCTTTTGTTTGCTAAACACAGTGTCCACTAAAGTCGGATTTCACTGTTAAAAATAAGAAATGTTCCACTGATTGATTAAAAAGTGTAGTAATTATAGGTTGAATTGTAAAAATAAATTTATGCTTTGGTTTAGTCTTTATGACTAGAGTAAGGAAGGAACAAAAATCAAAATCACAGAATGTACTTGTAAATTTCTTTGAATCTTTATTGATTCAGCTTCGAAAGATTATAAAATTTTATTAACTAAATGTATAGAACAGAACAAATTATTTTAAAATTGGAGTAAAATTAATTCACAACTTTTATCATAAATGACAATATAAATATTTTAACTTTTGAGTTTTAAATTTAACTTTTTTAAAAATAATAAAATATATATAGTTTTATAAAACAAGAATACAAATATATATTTTCTCTTCAAAATATTTTTTATGTAATTGTAAAATTTTACAAATAGTTTGTGAAACAAATTCAATGATTTACTTTTGTTGACTTTTCATAATCACCAGCACTTATATACTAAATAATTTTAATTATTGATGCTTATTCACTTAAATTGGTTATATATTTATTGAAATTAATAAAATTTTATTTTAATTTAACTTTTAGATTTATTAAGAAATTATTTATATATATTTTATTAGTGACTTTTTATACTTTATTAATTATGATTAACAATTTTTATACATGCTTTACTAGGGAAATGAAGGAAATTCTTCTGTAGAGCAAATTCGTCCATCACTTGGAGGAATGGCAAGTATGATGGATGAAATGGCCAAAACTCTTGCCAGGAGGTGGGTTTCATGGTATAAAAATAAATTACTATAGAAAATTTATTAAAAGATTAGTGATTTTATATGTTATTTACAGTTAAACATAGCAAACATTAATTTTTCAGAAGAGCCCAAGCTGAAAATAACCAAAGCGGACAGGTATGTACAGTACAATGCATTAATTTTCATTATTGTTTAAAATAGTTTAAAAATTTTCAAAAATAAATTTACAATTAATATGTTTTGTGTAAAGTATTGATGCTCTTATTAATAGAAATTTTTATAACAATGTTTTTTGAAATTAGTTTTTTTCTTTCTTTGTTTGTGTGTTTTTCCTTTATAGGATATGGAGACATTAGATAAAAGGTCATGGGAAAGGCAGTCATCATGTAATGAAAATAGTCCTAGCAAAGCAGTTTCTAGTAATGGACCTGAATCACCAAAACTTGGTCGCAGGTAAGCTCATTTCAAGAATTAAGTAAGTTTCTGTATCAGAATTCATATATTTTAATAAAAACAAAATTTAAAATTAAATACTTAAACATTCAAATATTTGTAATAAATATTTTCAGAAATCATTGAAAAAATATTACAAAATGAACAAAAATTAGATTTGATTTTAAACTTTTGTATGATGTGATTTTCTTTTTAGAAAATAAAGTAAAAGTGAGAATAAATATAATATAAATTAATATACAGGTATACCTTGACTTATGTCATTTCGAGTTACGTCATTCCCGATTATACGTCGTTTGTCAAAAAACTATATGGAAAAATAAAAATCAAGTTTAAGTCATTTTATTTGACTTTACGTTTGTCCACCACAAATATTGAAGTTGTAATATCACTAGAAAAACATTTAAAGCACACGAAATCATATTAAAATATATACATTTACAAGTATATACTGTATTTACAGTACATACATTCGTAAATTTAGATTACTTTTTTCTGTATATTAAAAACTAAAATTTATTTGTTTGTAAGCTTAAAATACATCCTTATTAACCATATATTATTAAAAATTCATTAATAAATAAAATACAGAATCAGGAATGATAATTTATGGTTTAGCCTAGTGACAAGTAGATTTGGAGACAAGTAAATCCGACTTACGTCACCTCTCCTGGATCCAATTACTGACGTAAGGCGAGGTATACCTGTATATGTGAAATTTGTTAAAAATAAATATTTTTGGAACTTTTTACCCCCTTCTTCAGATTTGTTCAGCAGAAAGAAATAATATTCCAAAGTAAGCATCAAGTATAAACAAAAATTTTTAAATTCTAAGAATACATATTGCATAATTTCAAATAAAAAAATTACTTCAATCCGTTGACACCATCTTTCACGTCTAGTATTGGAATGGATCTACTCTGTTGTAATGTCTCCTCACCTGCCCTTTGACAGTGTTCATAGCCAAGAATCTAAATCAGCTTGCCACATGCTGCACAATGCTTTGCATATTGAGGTGTGGTAATTATGATTAAAAAAACTTTTTTGACAATCCCTACTACTTTCAATGGTTTATATATTCATCTATGTTTATTACATATTTGTCAAATTGGAAGACTTTGTGGGCAGCCCTTACAAATCTGTACCAACACAATTTCTTGATGTGGTAGAAAAACAGGGCAATCAGATTCAGTTAAAATCCAAATCTTTATATTAGATAACATTCTGTTAAAATTTAAAACTATATCACATTCAATTATATGGTATATTATAATATATTTTACATAATACCAAATAACAAATTCAATGTGGCTCCATGCAAATTGTTAAAATATTTTTAAAAATGTAAAAAATAATTCATCTTAAAGTATATATCATATCATAATTTATTTTAAAGCACTTAATATAGTCTATTAATAAGTAATTTCTTCTTTACATACTTTTAGTATCCATTATGTTTGTATTCTGTCATAATAGGCTGAAGAGAGAAGTGAAGTCTCTCCCAAAATCATTAAAATTGTAAAAAATGTTTTGTTAATAAAATAATTATTAACACTACAATTTAAAAGCCTCACTATTGGTGTATGACAAGTCTTAAAACATTTAATTAAACAAGAATTCAGCTTAGTTAGTTAGAACAGAAGAATAGTTATATAAAGACATAAAGCTTAAAACAAGTTAAAAAATAACAATCTAATTAATAAAAATCTAATTGATTTTAGTAAGAGCATTATTATTTATATATTAATTCTTAATTTAAAATATTTGCAATAATTTAACAAAACACTTATTAATGTTTTTGAAATACTAACCATATTTGAACATTTTAATAGGAAAATTTTTAACCAAAAGCATATTATTACAATAAAATAAAATTCTACAGTAAGTGAAAATGAGAACAATTATTGATTGATCTATTGTAGTTAACATAACAGTATTACTTAAGGACTTCTAGCCTGTTCCAGCAACAAATCAAATGTTGTTTTTGACTATCTAAGTAGCCATCAACTGATGGCTACTTAAATAGTTGAAAACATTTGATAAACAAAGAAATTGTTGCTGAAGCAGGCTAGAAGTCTTTAAATTTTACATATATTTTAGTAAAGAAGTTTATTGTTCACAGTACTATAAGGAAGTACTGTAAAAGTAAAAATTAAAAGTTTGAAGTTGAATTTAGTAAATTGCTTTTCTTTTTACTTTTGTTTTACTTTATTCTTCTGTAGAGCAAATTCGTCCATCACTTGGAGGAATGGCAAGTATGATGGATGAAATGGCCAAAACTCTTGCCAGGAGGTGGGTTTCATGGTATAAAAATAAATTACTATAGAAAATTTATTAAAAGATTAGTGATTTTATATGTTATTTACAGTTAAACATAGCAAACATTAATTTTTCAGAAGAGCCCAAGCTGAAAATAACCAAAGCGGACAGGTATGTACAGTACAATGCATTAATTTTCATTATTGTTTAAAATAGTTTAAAAATTTTCAAAAATAAATTTACAATTAATATGTTTTGTGTAAAGTATTGATGCTCTTATTAATAGAAATTTTTATAACAATGTTTTTTGAAATTAGTTTTTTTCTTTCTTTGTTTGTGTGTTTTTCCTTTATAGGATATGGAGACATTAGATAAAAGGTCATGGGAAAGGCAGTCATCATGTAATGAAAATAGTCCTAGCAAAGCAGTTTCTAGTAATGGACCTGAATCACCAAAACTTGGTCGCAGGTAAGCTCATTTCAAGAATTAAGTAAGTTTCTGTATCAGAATTCATATATTTTAATAAAAACNCAAAATATTTATTCTGTTGTAATTCAGTTTTTTTTTTATGTTTAATGCTTTTTTTAATTTTACAGGAAACTTATTTAAGTAATGTTTTTTGTTTTTGAAAGGATAGTTTGACATTCAAAAATCTGACCATCCAGTTCCTTTAGATTTTCAGCATGGATTTTGGAGCACATTTTCAAATTTACTGCATTGGTGCGCCACTGTTTTCTGGAGGCACCTAACCAAAATTCTGTAGAATTGTTTTATTTAGTTGATGAACATTAAAATTTCATTTGCTTTTCATTCAGTGTTTAATTTTCTTTCTTTAAAGGATTATACAGGTAGTCATTTACTGTTAAATAATACAGCATATATAACCATAAAAAATCCAGCATTTTCAAAAATCTGGCACTCCTTAAGATGATGTTGGATTTTTGAATGTCAACCTGTAGTCTTTATCTTAACGCTTATAGAATAATTTAAATGTATAAAATTTAAATTAAACAAATGCATAAAACTGTAATTTTTTTTTTTTTTTTTTTTTCTTGAATCAAACACAATTTAAGTAAGCATTAGTTAAATAAATTTCTTAAAAGGTTCTAAAGGATACTTGAAATATTGAAAAATATTTTAAGGATACGAATGAATGATAAACTTAATTTTACTTATTAAGTAAAATTAAGTTTATCATTCAAAAATTAAATACTTTTATTTTTATATTTATTAGCACATAAAAATATTTTAATTAATTTAAGATCTATTAACAGGTAGTTATAAATTGTGCCATATTAAAAGGATTAAAGTATAACCAAGCTACTCCAACTTTTCATCAATGGCGAGATAACAGACATGTTTATGGCTTAAATTTCAGTAGTCGTGAAGATGCAGAAGCATTTGCTTTAGCTATGTTCAGAACTCTGGAAATTTTAAATCAAAATAGTAAATATCTTTAACATTTTTAATATTATTAATATAATAAATATTTAAGTCTAAAAATTATCATATTTATTAATAATTTTTATTCTTAGTTTTTACATTTTATTCAATATTACATTCATATCATAAAGCTTTATATAGTAATTTATAATTTTATTATATACATATTAGTGAATAATAAAAAATCTAATCATTACTAAAAGTTTAATATAATTAATAATAATTTTAATTTTAGGTTCTACATCACCAAGACCACCACCACCTCCACCACCACCACCAATGCCATGTCAGCAACCAATATACCAACCTGATGATTATAATAACGAACCAAGAGGATGGTAAAAAAAGTTTACAATTAAATAATTTATTACCTTTAATGTAAAGTCATCAAAATTTGCAGTAAAATTTAAATGTACAGTGGGTGATTGGTTAACAAACAGTTCGGACTACAAACAAATTGGATAATGAACAATTTCCTGAAAGATTTTTTTGTTTGGATAACGAACACCTCACAGAACAAACACAAGAAGAAGCGACGTAATATAATGAATACCAATTGGTCTTCCCTTGTTTTCAGGCAACAATTTGAAACTTTTCAGAGTGCAGGAGACGTTGGCATCGATGCTCAACCTGGTATATACTGATCAGATAGTATTCCTCTGAACTTTGAAACTCTCCCTTGTAACTTCTCCAGCCTTTTATTTTTCTACAGAAACAATTTTTTATAGTATTCACGAGACTGTCAGATAGGCACTCATTAAGTTTTGCATTGGTTTTATTTTCAAAAGGTGAGAGTATAATAGCAAAGGTAGAGAGTGGGCAGATGTATGTTGCTGGGTAGTATGGCTTGAACAGGTCTACAGTAGATCGCAGTTCAATCTTATCTAAGAAAGATACAGTATAATCAAGAAGACTCAAGCAACTAAAGGAGCAACAAAAATCACACCTGAGAAATAATAAAGAACATTGAAGAGCTCATAATAGAACCTGAAATGGATCTGATGACAGAAGAACATCAAGAAACTCAGCAAGATATGTTTTCTTCTGAAAAAGAGGAAGTCAAAAGAGGACCAATGCTGACACCAGCTATTTACCACTTCAGTCATTCAGCCAAGATGATGAGTTGAACCAGATGATAAGACTCTCATTCCAACAAGAACATGAAAAGAGATGCAAAAGATAATGTAACTGAATCAGATGATTTGAGTTAACTATGAAAACTTTAATTATTTCAGATGTAGATAATTAAGATATTTCTTTCAATTTTTACCTCCTCCTCTCCTGTTGCAGGATAATAAACCTTGGCTTCAAAAACACAGGGAATATGTATGTTTTAAAAATAAATGCCTCCAAGGTTTAATCAAGAAAATATGCTAGTTACAATTTATTATCCTACATTTGAAATGGCAAGTGGCAAGAATCTAATATACTGTACTGCAAACAAATAACATTTAAAACACTGATTGAACTGATACAATTGCATGCGTTATTAGTTATGCTATCACAGTCTCAACTTATGGTTAATATAAGATATATGTAGGCTTATAAGATAAAAATATAAGGTATATATTTTTAAACTTATATGTTTGGGAAATATAATTTTTATAACATTACATTGCTAGTGATAATATCAGTGATTACAATAACTGGATTCTACTGTATTTTTCAAAATAAAATTATTAAATAAATACATAAAATTCAATCATTGTAGTATTAAATAGTTATAATTAGTAAATATTTAAATTTATAATATTAAATATTTAGATTCTTGGAAGTTAGTAAATAATTTTATATTCTAAATAAAAGTATTTATTTAAGCCTTTTTTTACTTTAGGCCCTCAAATGATTGTTCTGTTAGAATGGCTCCACAGCAATCAGCACAGCATATGAATAATAATAGTAAGTTTGTTTTTTTTTTTTTAATTATTAAATGTAAGAATTTCATATGAATTTAAAAAAATCATATCTGAGGAAAACAATGATTCCCTACTACATACATGGTGTCCCCACTTAAAATCAGCCCAACTGAGATGGAACATTAGTGAGGTAAATTTTTAGGGAATATTTAGAAGGAAAGTGTAAAAGACAATCCAGAACTATATGCTGAAAAATGTGTGTGTTTATATACATACATACATCTACAGTCATATCAGTTATAATGTGCACAAAGGAATTCATTGCATTTGCACATTACTACTGTTACTATATTCAATTCTAATGATCAACCCTATTTCACTAACAATGGATGATATATGTAATTTCTAAAAATTTTAGTATATAGGATGTATTCTCCATTGCATTTAAGTAGACACACTAATTCTTTCACAGTGTTAATACAGTTGAAGACAGGCCAAATTTTCTGCATATTTCCACATTTTTCAATTTATTATAGTAAACTTACAATAACTTGGAATATTTAGGTGAATAGATGTCTTAACTGAAAACAAAATGAAGATTTACTTGCAATAACCATGAACTAGTAAAAATCATAAGTACGGTTATTGTGAGTAAATCTATGTTTTATTTTCAGTTTTAACATATTTTGATCAAAATACCCAAGCTTGTTGTAAGTTTGCTTCATAGATATAAGAAACAAATTTTTATTGTATAATAAAAATAAGAAATAAAAATACTTAATGGAACAATTGATTTAAGTGTTACTATTGTTTGTATACAGTAACACTTAAATCAAGTGTTCTAAAGTATTGCATACCACTTGAGTTTATATGAATGAGCAGAATAATGTTAATAATGGAGGTGTAGCTTATGATGGTGGTAGAGCAGTGTATTAGCAATAAGTAATGATAGATATGGAGGAAAAATAACTGAAAATAAAAATGAGCCTGTTACTTATGCCAGAAAATAACATAATACTGTACAATATTGATAATGCAATGTTGATCTAACATTTTGTAACTTTACATTACTTAAGTTATTGTACCCATTAACACTAAATTTAGCAAAAACCATTCATTTTGTAGTGGAGTTACAATACTTTAAAACACCAGTATATGTATATAAAGAGTGTCCACTTAAATATCTATCCAGGAGCAAAAGAGATCTTTCAGTATAGTTTAGGTCAGATTTTGGACTGCAACAGACACAAATATATCAGATATTACATTGTCATGACTTTCATCCATTCCTCAACTATCTGCAATTACAACAACATGCAGAGGATGCCATACAATGATTTGAGGAGTCAACTTGATGTTGAATGTACAGCATGATGAACCACAACTCCTTCAGCACATTTTATTGACTGATAAGGCAATTTTGGGGAATGGTCCATAAATCCATGTCACAATGTGCATCACTGAGAAGAACATGTTCCATGATACACATGACATAAGCAACACCAAGTGCATTTTACCCTAAATGTGTGGTATAAGATTTGGAATGAGCAGCTTCTCAGGCCTATATTCATTGATGGATGCCATTGCACTCTGAATAGTAGTGACTGGTATCTGAACATCCTAAACAAAGCAATGGATGATTGGTACTACTGCAGATTTGGTACCAGTACAATAGTGTGTCACCTTATTCCCAGACAGACATGCATCAGTGGATTTGAAGGGTGACTTAATAATTGCTGGATAGGATAACATGGCTCTTTTCCACAGACTTGACCCCTCTGAATATGCATACAGCATACATCACAATGCATTCACTCATGCAATGCTGGAAAGATCTCTTTTGCCCCTGGATAGATGTTTAAGTAAGTGGACACCCTGTATTTATGCATATACAGTGGAACTTGAACACAGTAAACTTTAATATAATATAACCTTGGTTTTATTGAACCAAACAGTCTTGTCCCAGCAAATCTGCTGCTGCCATCTCATATTAAATTTAATGACCGATTCCAAATTAAATTTTAGAAATGTCTAAATTATAAATTATTTATTTATAATTATTAAATTTAATACAAGATGGAAGCATAACTGTCTACCTCTAGTCAAATTAATTAATTTCTAATATTTAATTATAGCTTGTACATATCCCAAGAATTTGGCATATTGTTT